GTGACCCAGTTGGGTGCTTTTTGCAATGTTTGTCCTATCCTTTTTCAGTGCTTCTTCCTAATTTCTTCCTCCACTGGAATCTGGTTTGTTTTGTTCCACAGTAGGTTGTCGCCGATGCTGTCTGGCATAACAGATTTGAGGTATTTTGCGTAGACAACTGTTAATGAACCCTTGTACCTTCTGGATAATAGGTTTGGTAATTTTCCAAGTTCCTACCCCATACAGTAGAACTGTCTTGACATTTGTATTGAAAATTGTGACTTTGTTGTTTGTTGACCGTTGTTTTTAGTTGAAAATGTTGTTCAGTTGTAAAAATACAGCCCTTGCTTCGCCGATCCTGGTCTTCACATCTGCATCAGATCCACTGTGCTCGTCAATGATGCTGTCTAGATATGTAAAGGATTTTACGTCCTCCAAGGTGTCTCCATCAAGTGTGATTTGGTTGATACGTGTTGTATAAGAGATGCTTGCTTTCCCCAGAACAGTATGCGCACTTTCAAAATATCTTTTTGGGTTCTCATTGGGCATTCCAAAAGACTAATAATCTATATCCATAGGAGCACAGTAACTCGTAGAAAACATTCATAGATTTGAAGTGGATCCACTTTTATGAAGAGAACGTGATTGGTTTAACAGAAACATTTATTATTATAACCAATTTTACCAGTGATTGTTTAAATGTACTTTTTATCTATTACACTTTGTACGTCCGAACTTCTTGAATAATTTGTTCGATCCCTAATAATCTCCATTACCAGTAATTCTTCTACTATCTCTACCACGATGGGATTTGAACTGACAGTGGCATCTCTGTGCTGGTGAGGTATGGCAACCTGAACTGACGTACGTACGTACGTACGACGTTCTACGTTGTAATTGACTTGACAGACAGACAGACAAATACAACGCAGAACTTCGTACGTAAGTACATCAGTTCAGGTTGCAACACCACATTAGCACAGAGACGCAAATATCAGTTCAAATCCAAGAGAGATAGCGATAGTAGAAGTATTAGCAGTAATGGAGAAGATTAGGGAGCAAAGATATGATATGATTCGAGAAGTATAATTCAGTGAGATAAATTTAGAAAGAGAAAGATATAGATGATGACGAATTCAGAATGTTAGAATTTGAGAGAACACAATAAGTGGATGCACTTGCGTCATTGCAAACGATTTTGAGCCATGTCATTCAAGGTCTCTAACCATTGGTAACTTTCGTCTCGCGGACCCCAACCAGATAGCCTACGTCTACCAACACGACTCAGTCCACTTGTCAGTGACTTCATGGATTTGTGCCATGTTTTGGTCTGGCCACCCCTAGCTTTCTCCCACCCTACTGCTACACCACAAAACATAGCTCGTCGAGGCAGTCGGTGGTTAGCCATACATAACACATGTCTTAACCACCTCAACTGATGAAGTTTCACTACTTCACCTATTGATTTGCCGTCCCTACCTAGAACTCGTTTTCTAACGACAGCATTGCTTGACTTGTACGCGCAAACTCTCTGTAATTATTTCCCCACCTCCTTTCTGGCACGATTTCGGTACTACGAAATCGCCAGCAAATATATATATATTCTTTACCTATGGACCAACTTTTCTTCTATGTGACTGACCCATAAATTAGTATTTCGTGATGATCATTGCCAATCTCAACTTGATCACCATTAAAGATTGATCAGTTAAGTAAAATCACTTTTCTTTTGCGCAAACTATCCATTTTCCAAAAATTTCCAATCTTCTGATTAAAATTGTAGAAACTTGCTGAAATTTCATTGCGGTTATTTTTTTTTTAGATCATTTCTATAATATATACTTTGATCATATATTTTTCTTTGAAAAAAATAGTAAGGTTAATCACTTTTCAAATATGAATAATGCCCCCTAGTTAAATAAATATACCACCACTATTATATCAAACTTTATAAAATTCTACTTCAACATGATGATCATTTAGTGTTCTATTTTCAATGATCATGTGGAGCGTAAATTTAAATCTCTAAGTAAAAATAAAATATTTTAACTTATGCGATTCTAATTGACTGTATATATTCTATCGATTATATATATATATATATATATATACACTCCGACCAAGGCCCAGCCTTTGAAAGTCATCTCATTGATGAAATATGCAAGTTAGTAGGAATAAGGAAAACGCATACTACCGCATACCAATCAGAGGGTAACGGCATAGTCGAAAGAACAAATAGAATCATTAAAGCCATTTTACAATCGTTCATCAACAGATCATCACCCAAGTTGTGGGATGAGATGCTTTCTCAATGTATGTTAGCTTATCGGTACATGGGTCCACGGGATTCTCACTTGCTATTTGTTTTACTATTCGGGCGCGAACTATGCCTCCCGATGGAGATACAGTGACCTTTGCTACCCTATCAATTTGGTAAATTTCTTGTTAATATCAATACAAAGAATTAATTAAAATCGTGAACTAAATACTTTTTTTGGTTTTCAGCAAAGTACTGCCATCACATTTCAGTTTCATCAGTAATCTAACTTGCTGTCTATTCCTCTATGTTTACACAATATTCATACTTTTACTAGTATGAAATGCCGGTATTAAAGTGTACAGAAAACATACTGTTGGACTGCATAACATGTCTGTGGGATTCGATGGAAGTAAATGTTTCTTGCAAAATTATCACTTCTCTTATACATCTAGATCAAGTATAAGTTGGACTAATTTAATGTCAATTCTGTCAGAAAAAAAAACAAGATTATTTCAAAGTTGGTCGATGTTTGAAAATACAAGAAGAATTCACTTGTACTGATTATCTGAATCGTCCTAAAAATCAATCTGTTTTAGAATATGTACGGTTACATCCGCCTGACGAATGCCAAATAAGACGAAATGCATATCCTTGATTGCCCTGCTAGTCATTAACTCCACTTTTAAGAAGAATGTCTATACAAAGTTTTCTAAGGAAGTGAACAAACCATTTTGATTAAAGTTGGTTGTTGATTAAACAGAAAGCATTAAGAACATCATTAGAAGTACTTGAAATACACCCAATATACAATCATTTGGAGATTTAGCTATACAATATATACTGCTATACAACCTTATAAGTAGTATAAAACTATTCTCAAATATTCGAAGTGCTTATTAACTAGCTTTTATGTTCATACCCGTCTTATAATGATCAATATAAGATTTAAAGTGTAAGGATTTATTCATTAATTATGGACAAGTGTCATCGCTTTGAAGATACAACCCGGCTAAGTACTGTTGAAAAAATTTGTATATACACGTAACGCGAAACTCTTCGACAGTTGGCATCTAGTAATATGTGACTGAAAATCGGTTAGGTATATACATATATGACGGATTGTGTGCATTGCGAAATAGTGATACACCAAGATGTAACAGCCGTGCTTCGAGACGTTTTTTTGACCGTCTCGTAACGTAACTGGTTTTTTTAATGCAGGAATAGATGAAAATCGACGCGAAACCGCTTACTTTGTACTAAGAATTCTTTACTGTAACTAAATATATGGTACTAAATAAAAAGACTGTTGGGGATGTTAGATCCCAAGAACTCGCTTGATAAATGCCTTATTTTGGATTTCACGTTTGCCAGCATGGGCTGATCAGTTGACCTTGAGATTTCATTTTCCACCAGCAAAATCCATGACTGTGATTGGCTGCTGTGTATTTTAGTGCACTATTTTCGTGACTGTCCCAAGGACGTTTCTATGATGTGTAAACAAACGAGAGTTGTGTGCTTGATTGTATTGTGTGATGGCTGGGTGTTGTAGAATATACTTTCTACACTTACAAAGACTTCTGTTTTGCAGTTTGGGATTCAAGGTAGCCTATCTGGACGCTGGTTCATTGTCTTGTTTGCGTTTATCGACTAAGATGAACTCGTAATAGCTTCAAGCGTACCTAGTGATGAACGTAACAGAGTAGTGGTTGTTAGACCATAGAACATAGAATTCTCAAAACGCGGAATTTCCTAACAAGTTTCCTTGACAAAAAAATAATCAGTGATTGACAGTTGGAAGTAAATCGTTCAGGAATCAATATCTTATGAACATCCATTCTTTTCCCCATAGATTACCAACCACCTTAATGTTTCGGATGGTACTTTTTTGTACCTGGTGAACTCGCAAAACTCGTAAACCATTCTTATATGCGCACTTGACGTGTTAAAACGAAACAGAAAGTGAGAACTTGTCATGAGGAGACAGGTAGTTCAATTATATATTCAAGCAGGAGGCCAATGATAAAAAATATTCAACCGGATCATTATTGTTATCATGATTTATGATTGAAAAAGAAAATTCTTCCACATTCATTTTTATGTACACAAGAGAAAGTGATAAATATCGACTAAAATAATGAGATAAGAAAAGCTCTTGTGAACAAACGAAAAAACACAAAGAATGCCAAAAAATATCAAGCAATAATAAAAATAGAAGAAAATTGATCATTTTCTGAGAAAATAAAGTTATTAAACAAGCAAGCTAACATAAATAAAATAAATATATAACATATTTGGGATTTTTATCAAAGGCAAAAAAATAATGGCGCTTATTGAGATTATGAGTGAAGAAGAGGACACCGACTGAGCGAAGCACATTCACAGAGAGACAGAGAGAGGATTGCACATTACAGTAGAGAGAATAATCTAAAATTGCTGTGCTGTGTTCTTCAGTCATCTTTATAGTAATAATAATAATAATAATAATAATAATAATAATAATAATAATAACAGATATTCTGATTAGTGATAAATAAACAGATAGATAGATAGACAGATAGACAGGTGGATGGATGGATAGATAAACAGATAGATAGTTAGACAGATGGATAGGTAGATAGACAGACAGATAGTTAGACAGATGGATAGATAGATAGATAGACAGATAGAAAGTATGAGTATAAATATTAACGTACAGTACTGAAACAAACAGAATAGATTAGCATTTATTTATGCCTAGCTAATACATATAGTAGTATAGGCGTCACTTACGAAAACAGCTAAAAAGTGTATGTTTGCCTTTATTGACTTCATTTCCTGATGGATCCAATCTATTGATGGTGAAAAAATAAGATTAAAAAAAAGATCGATCAGATTGTAATTTGTTCGATGAGATTTTGTAAAAATATCTCACCGGTGGTCATCAATCACAATTAAATTAACCATAGTTTTCTTTTAGTCTCTTTTTCATTTAGTGTTTAGTAGTGAAACATTTGTTATTTTCATAAACTTTGGAGAATCCCTAGAATTGCTTGAAGTATCATTAATTCAGTGTTTTGGAAGATTCAGCTCATACATCAGCCATCATCATCATGTATTGAGGTAGGCAGTAAACGGTTATATAAAGTATATCTATCTTAAAACCACTTCTTATTTATTTACTTACGCCCGTCACCCCCAATAGAGCATAGGCCGCCCACCAAAATTCTCCAACTTACTCTGTCCTGGGCTTCCTTTTACAGTTCTATCCAATTTTTGTTCATTTTTCTCATGTCTTTCTCTATTTCTCGGAGTATTATCTCTTTTCATCTTCCTCTCTTCCTTCGACCTTGAGGGTTCCATGTGAGGGCTTGTCTTCTGACGCAGTTGGGTGCTTTCCGCTGTGTGCGTTCTATCCACTTCCACCGCTTCTCCCTGATTTCCTCCTCTGCTGGAATCTGGTTTGTTCTTTCCCCCAGTAGGCTGTTAGCGATGGTGTCTGGCCAACGGATACGAAGTATTTTGCGTAGACAACTGTTAACAAACACTTGTATCTTCTGGATGATGCCTTTCGTAGTTCTCAAAGTTTCCGCTCTATATACTAGTCGCTAAACAAAAAAATCAAACCACTTCACTTGGTGAATATTCATCACTGCACACATCTATCTGCCACCTTTACTAAGTACGCCGTTCTCAATCTCAACGTCACTCACTCCAATGGTCCCAACAAAAACGAGTAATAATTAGAAGACATTTTCGATCGAAGACTAGTAACCTACTAATACTATTTTACACCCGAAACGTAGAACAGAGAGAATTGATAATCAGTAAACTTGCAATTTGTTTGACAAATGGATATCTTCATTATAGAGTTATGGAGATTGTTGTTTTTTACTGAAATAATGAATCAATAATCATTAGACTTCTATTAGAAACCTCGAAGCACTGGACAACCGTTCCGAACTGGTATGGGATTCATCGACAGTACTTATCCACGATTCCTGATACTCGCAGGATCCGAACCCGAGATCTTTGGGCTTGCACATGAACGCTTAACCTCTGGAGCACTGAGCTAGCGTCCGATGGTGTTAATATCTAACTCTGATTAATCTAAGGTTTTGCGTAACTTCACCAATCGTCTTCGGTAGTTACTGCTTAAACCCGATATCGTTGAGCTCCACTGGTCAAGTCTTCTCACTAGAACTCCGAGAATTTCCTTACACAGCTAGTAACTAGTGACCACACGATAATTTCCGTCAAGAGTTCGCACTCAAAACCAAGGGCCCCGGTTTCAAATCTTGCAAGTAGATGTCGAGAATACGCACTGCTGATGAGTCCCCTGTCAGTACGAAACGGCTGTCCAGTGCTTCCAAGTTTCTAAAGGTAAACTACATAAGACTATAATACAAAACTAAAAGATAATGCAAAATTTTACTTACCCATAAACAAGATATTCATAAAACCATTGAGGTACAATATGTAAACTGAACGGTGATTTAGCATTTTCCACTAATGTAACAATTTTTTCATCTAATAAACCAATAGTACTATGATTATCAATTTCAGTAATATAATAATTCAATGGAATTTTATCACTTTTTTCATTAAAATATTTTGTACGTTGTAAAATCATGCCATCATTGATGAATAGACCACATTTACCATGAATTTTATAAATTGTTTTCATTTGCCTATAAGGACTAAACAAATAAATAAAACAGATGGAAGGTGCTCTGTTATTGTTTGTTCAATTGTTAATTAACATGATTATAATCTCCACGTCTGATAGTTGGTCGATGTGGATGATAAGTGCAATCTTCTACAAAGCCTAAGCATCAACGTAAGCATGTCAGTCAGTCAGTCAGTCAGTTGCAACGTAGAACTTCGTACGTATGTACATAAGTTCATGTTGCCATACCACAATTAGCACAGAGACGCAAATGTCAAATCAAATCCCATAGTGATAGAGATAGTAGAGGTATTAATGGTAATGAAGAAGAATAGAGTTCGAAGATATTATTCAAGAAGTATAATTCAGTGAAATAAGGTTACAAAGACAAAGGTAGAGGTGCTGACGAATCCAGAAGATTAGGATTTGAGAGAGCTCAACGAATGGATGCAGCTACGCCGTTGCAAACGATTCCCAGCCACGTCGTTCAAGGTCTCTAACCATTCATGACTTTCGTCTCGCGGACCCCAACCAGGTAGCCTACATCTACCAACATGACTCAGTCCACTTGTCAGTGACTTCATGAATTTCTACCGTGTTTTGGTTTGGATGCCCCTAGCTTTCTTCCAACCTACTCCTATACCACAAAACATAGCTCGTCGAGGTCATCGGTGGTTAGGCATTCGTAACACATGTCCCAACCACTTCATCTATTGATCTGCCTTCCTTACCTAGTACTCGTTTCCTAACGACAGCATTGCTTACTCAGTTGTCCCAAGATATACGAGCAATGCTTCTAAGACATCTATGATCGAATACTAGTAACCTACGAGCATCTACTCTTAACGGCCATGTTTCACATCCATATAGTAGGACGGAGCGAACTACTGCACAGTACACTCGTCCTTTGGATAGCAAACGGATATCTCGCCTATGCCATAAATGGCGTAAATTGGCAAAAGCAAATCGAGCTTTCTGTTTCCGCGCTGAGATTACGTCAGTCATCAGGCTATCAGCGCTGATGAGACTCCCCAGATAAGTGAAGTGATCAACACGCTCGACTACTTCACTCCCTATCACTAGTTCAGGTGCCGATGCAACCCAGTCTTGAAGCATGTTTGGAATGCGATTCTCCACTGTCAAACAAAATGTCGATTCACGAATGGCTTGCAACGGCGCCTAAAGTACTGACAGGGAGTGTGTCGACTACTTCATTTACTTCCAGTCTCATCAGTCCTGATGGATTGATGTCTGACAAATTCTAGGCATAGATACAGAAGGTTCGATTGGCTTTTGCCAACCTGCATTACTTATGGTATCGGTGAGATATCCGTTTGCTAACCAAAAGATGAATCTACTGCGCAGTAGTTCGCTCCAGGCTATTTTACGGGTGTTAAACATGGTCACTAAGAATAGAGGATATTCGTAGGTTAGAAGAAGGGTTCTAGAGGAAAGGATGGCAGATCAAAAGATGAAGTAGTGAATCTTAACCATTTGAGGTGAACATGTGTTAAGTCGACAAGCGATGATGCCTGGTCTAAGGGTAGGATGGAGGAAGGATAGGAGTGCTCAAACTGAAGCATGGCACAAATCCATGAAGTCACTGTGTAGTGCCTCCACATATATTCCAGTTCGCTTACATTTAACTTGGTTAAGCCCTTTCGATTAATTTATTTAACCAAGCCATTTGTATTGCAACTATTTATATGTACCATTTGCTCTTATTATTGTCTGGTTTGTATGAGCTCACATGACATGTCCCACATGTCATTTGACCTTGTCAACCATTCGTCGCTTTTATTCACGTCTGTGCATGCCTATCCTGTTGACCACATGTCTGTCTTATTTTTTGTCTGACTATATATTCTTAGTCATGCTCTATCTCTTGGAGTTGGCTCATTAGCCTTCTCCAATTCACGTCGCTTCCTTCGCCCAATCGTTCGCATTGTAATCCTAGGAGTTGTCTCAACAGCCTTCTCCAATTCACGTCGCCTCGTCCCTTTTATTCGCTGCTTCCCCGCTTCGCTTTGTGGTCTGTCCCAAATAAACGTATTCATTAGCGCGCAGCAACATAGTCATGCTTTAATTTTATCTATGTCCCACTAACACACTGAAAACTGGACTCAGCTATGTTAGTAGGTGTAGACTATCAGGTCAAGGTCCACGAGATGACAGTAACCGATGGTTTTAGAGGCTATCAGTGACATGGCTCAAAATCATTTGCAATAGCGTAGATGCAGTCAGTCAGTTACAACGTAGAACTTCGTATGTACGTACATCACTTTATGTTGACATATCACATTAGCACAGAGACGCAACTGTCAGTTGAAATCCAATAGAGGTAGCGGTAGTAGAAGTATTAGCAGTAATGGAGAAGATTAGGGTATATTTCAGTGAGATAAATTTAGAAGGAGGAAGATAGAGAGGATGAGAAATTCAGAATGTTAGAATTTCATAGAACACAAAGAGTGGATGCACCTGCGCCATTGCAAACGATTCTGAGCCATGTCATTCAAGGTGTTTAACTATTCTTTGTCTTTTTTCAAATACTAAGCCCCTGAATTCTTCATAATATTTCTTTCGATTCATTCCACTGGTTTGCAACTTCTCGAATCATATCTTCACAATCCCTAATCTTTTCCATTACCAAAATAACACTGTTACTAACTCTACTCTTTGGCTATTTGAATTGACAATTCAATCTGTCTGTGTGTTAATGTGTTGTATGACAACGTGAACTGATGCACACACGTACCAAGTTTTACAGTGCAATTAACTGACCAATTGACAGTATAAAAATAATTGAACAGTTTGCACTGATTAATGTAACAACAAAATAAATTGCATAGTATGAATCATTATTCAAATCAAGTAGAAAAGTAACTCTAATCTCTTATTGATTGAAACATTGAATCAATTTTTTTATTTCTATTGTTTGAAAATGTTAACAAATAATTTATTCATTTATTTATCTAAATATTCATCTCGATATATATTTTATTCTGATGTTTTCTTTCAGCAGTTCTCTTAAAATAATGCTCCTAAATATATATGCGTCATACATATCATTGAATTTATGAGTGAACTAGGACACTACCAAAACGCTCAAACTGTAGCAGGAGGGGGTTTCTTTAAGGGGTTGCACATCCTGAACTTTTAAGTCAGTAGTGCAACGTAAGCAGTTACAGTTCCATGGTAGTCGGTGATCAACAAATAAGTCCATACGTCATTTGTTCGTTCAGTATTATGGAGCCGATGTGAATCATTGGTTTGGAATGAGGGTTTTTCAATTCCTCTAGATAGACCTTCTATTCTTACCGAGCCGGTTAAAGAACTTGACAATTACTATTCGTCCTCTCAATTCCGTAAACAAAATCTTCGCCAAGAGAAGCCGGTGAGTAGGACTTCCTTAAACAGTGGATATAGACGCGTGGTCATGTAAGAAAATTTCGAAAGGAAGAGTAGACTCTCAACACTCTCAGTCGTACCACAGAGTACTTTGACTACATCCAAAAAATAATATTCACTACAAGATAGCATAAACTTGAACTATCTAAAGATGTTGTGAAATGTTTATAAAACTCACTTCATACTGAGTAAAAATCAATCTATACAACTGGTGTAACAGCAGAGAAATGTATTATTTCTTTACTAAACTATAGATTAGTGTGTACTCAGCTTTAAGGGATGGCAAATCAATAGATGAAGTAGTGAAACTTCATCATTTGAGGTGGTTAGGACATGTGCTGCGTATGCGTAACCACCGACTGCCTTGACAAACTATGTTTTGTGGTGTAGCAGTAGGTTGGAAGAAAGTTAGGGGCGGCCAGACCAAAACATGGCAGAAATCCATGAAGTCACTGACAAGTGGACTGAGTCATGTTGGTAGATGTAGGCTACTTGGTTGGGGTCCGCGAGACGAAAGTCACCAATGGTTAGAGACCTTGAACGACATGGCTCAAAATCGTTTGCAATGGCGCAGGTGTATCCACTCTTTGAGCTCTCTCTAATTCTAATCTTCTGAATTCCTCAAAATCTCTATATTTCCCATCCTAAAGTTATCTCACTGAATTATACTTCTCGAATTATATCTTTACTCCCTAATTTTCTCCGCTACTGCTAATACTTCTACTATCGCTACCACTATGGGATTTGAACTGACAGTTGCGTCCCTGTGTTGATGTGGTATGGCAACCCGAACTGATGTACTTACGTACGAAGTTCTGCGTTGTATCTGTCTGTCTGTCTTTAAGACTCGCTTTATTAAACCACATACTAATCATCTATTTTATTATGACTTGACAAATAATGAAATATGAAAACTCTTCCAAGGTTACTAACTAAAAATAAACCCAGTGTTAGTGTGTCGATCTCTATAGATGATCATCAAAAATGTCCAAAGACGGCTAGAACGCTGATCCAAGTAATTGAAGAAGGTTATTAAACCGTTATATTGTCTCAGAAATGTATACTTATTGCGCTGATCGTTCAGTGCATGCTAAGAAGCCTAATGTAAGTAGTAGAAGTTAGAAAGGAGATGTAACTGTTAAAAAATTGCTTGTGTTTTATCATACTGAGGTGAGATTGTTGTAAGCATATTTTCAAAATAATCTACTTAATGTGTGTGTGTGTGCGTGTGCTATACATATTAGACTATAATCATATCATTGACTGCTTTCAATCATAATACGTATTTCATGCGAAACATGTGTAGGATTGACTCGTTAAGAGCAGTTCAAGTCTTACTTAGCTTATTAAAGAGTCGACTACATCCTTAACCTTTGTTAAATGCTTGAACATCACTGCGTGTATTACAGGTCACGAATAATGATTTCATCGCTAAATAATAAAGATACTTTTAATTCATTGGATAGGGTTGTGTCCTAGTATGGTTGGCTTTTAGATGAATATCTATAGTGTTTACTCACATTTTTAAGAACATATCAAATAAAAAAAAGTATTTTAGATAGGTTAAAGCTACATAACAATATCCCTACATTGTCAAACCCTGTCAATTCTCTACAATTACACCATCGATTACATTCTAATGATGTCACTGGAGGTTTTAGCTTTGAATATAAAAATATCATATTAAATATGAAATGACGTACAGACTATGCATTTCATCAGTTAGTGATCAACAACCGTAAAGGCAGCATGTACTTAGTACTATAGAAATGGAAAGCATTTCTACAAGACTGTAGTTTTATTTACATTTCAGAATTCGCAAGATTAGAATTTGAGAGAAAACAAAGAATGAATGCATCTGAGCCATTACAAACAATTTTGAACCATATCATTCAAAGTCTCTAACCATCGGTTACTATTGTCTCGTGGACCCCAACCAGGTAGACTACACTTACCAACATGACTCAGCCCAATTGTCAGTGACTTCATAGATTTCTGCCATGTTTTGTTCAAGCTGCCCCGGGCTTCTGACCTATTCCTACACGACAAAGCATAGCTCGTCGAGGTAGTCGATTGTTGAGCATATGTAACATATATCCCAACCACTTCAGTTGGTGAAGATTCAATACTCCTTAGATGGATTTCCCATCTTTATCTAGTACCCTATTCTTAATCCTGACATTCGGGTGCTAGGTAAGAATGGCAGATCAATAGATGAAGTTCCGAAACTTCATCAGTTGAGGTGGTTGAGATATGTGTTACATATGCTTAACCACCGACTGCCTCGACGAGCTTTGTTTTGTAGTGTAGGAGTAGGTTGGAAGAAAGTTAGGGGCGGCCAAACCAAAACACGGCAGAAATCCATGAAGTCATTCAAGAGTGAACTTAGCCATGTCGGTAGTTGTCGACTAACTGGTTGGGGTCCGCGAGATGATAATAATCGATGGCTAGATACCTTAAATGACATGGCTCAAAATCGTTCGCAATGGCGCCGGTGCATTTATTCTCTGTGTTCTCCCAAATCCTAATCTTCTGGATTCTTCAACACCTCTAGTTTTGTCTTTCTAAACTTATCTCACTGAATCATACGTCTTGAATAGTACCTTCTAATCCTAACCTCTCGGATTACTTCTAATATCCTTACTACCTCTTCTACTATTGGATTTGAATTGACAATTATATCTGTGTGCTGATGTGACATGGCAACATGAACTGATGTACTTACGTACAAAGTTCTACGTTGCATCTGACTGACTGACTGAATCCTGTCAATGCTTGCTTGGTGGTCGCACGATATGCGAGCAATGCTTCGAATAAACCAGTGATCGAATACTAGGAACCTACGAATATCCTTTTCTTTTCAAATTGGCCATGTTTCACATCGATTAAATAGGATGGAGCGAACTGCTGTGCAGTATACTCATGCTTCTTTGGTTAGCAGCAGACGGATATCTTGCCTAAGCCATAAAACGAATGTATTTGTAAAATTAATTATTTATTGAATTGCATTAACTGTTATCATAATTTGTGCCTAAACGATAACCCAGTTTTAGCTTATTTTATATGGAACATTTTCGTATCTTATATACACTTAATATAATCTCTAATATTTAATTTGAAATTCTGTTAATTACTAATTTGTTGGAGTTAAATGTAACTTTCGTAAGCAATTGAAAAATGTTTATTATATTCAACTAGATTAGTCATTAATTTATGTAGGCAGTGTAATTACCAACAGATAATATTCTAAATTAATTCTTAGACTGTCAATCACACACACACACACACACAGAAAATCTTAGTTTGGTCAAAATTACAACAAGTGACCGAGAAAAAACTATTTGACTTGATATTATCTGTTATCTATTTCTAAAATGTAAATTTCAACACAATTAGTTAACGAAACCAAAAAAAAGAGCAACATAAGAAAATATATGGAATAGTAATTGGAAAACAAGTAAAATGAGTCAACACATTCCATATTGTCCATGAGAATCATGAAACATTCTGATTGGCGAATAAGCAATAGTCTTGTCACACAAAGTCAACGTGATTGGTGAGTGTTTAACACTATCTTTGGTGGGTTCGTTCATGGATCGGTCACATATTACCAGGTTGTGGAGATTGTTAAATTACACATTTGAAATCATGAATCGATCAAAGTTAGACCACCATTAGAAACCTGGAAGCACTGGACGGCCGTTTCGTCCTAGTATGGGACTACTCATCAGAAGTGTATGAGATTGAGCAACTCTGTGAATTGATCGAAATGAGACATTAACACCGTTAGATGATGGCTCAGTGGTCCAGAGGTTAGGCGTTCACGTACAAGACCGAAGGTCCTCGGTTCGAATCCTGCGAGGTGCAGGAGCCATGGATGCGCACTGCTGATAAGTAGTCTCATACCAGGACAAAACTGCCATCTGCCAGTGCTTTCAGGTTTCTAATGGTGATCGATTCATGATTTCAAATGTGTAACTCCATAATTTGTGCATTGATTACTTTTTTTATTGAACAATGAACTACTGTAATCACTTCATTAATATTGTGGTTTGAAGTTCAAACGCAGTGATAGCCAGAGATAATTTGTTTCACAACAATACGATTGCCTTTAGAAAACTTGAAGCACTGGGCGGCCATCAAGTCCTGGTATGGGACTCATCAGCAGTGCGTATGCACGACTCTTGATACTCACACAGTTGGGACCCAAGAGCTTCAGTCTCGCGAGCGAACGCTTAACCTCTAGACTACTTGATCCGGCATTCCACAGTGTTAATATCTAACTCCACGTTTCTAATGGTGGTCTAACACATTGATCGATTCATGATTTCAATTATATCAAAGTTTAAACTAGAAATGAAGTAGTTGTTTTTTTTTTTCATTTCAACAGGAAATGAAATGCTTTCAAGAAATTTTGACATGTCAAATATTAAGACATTATTATATAATATGACTAGACAGTTGTTCATATATGTACACATTGACAACAGCCTAAAAAAATTGATATTGATTAACTCGACTTAAATATAATAAAATATCAAAATGCATTTTTTTTCAAATATACATGTTATATTACAAACTGAAAATGAATTATTATTTACTTAGCATAAATCAAACATTATGTTTTAGGATAAGGTAAATAAGTTTAAAAACGTTATATATATACCTTTATCTTATAGATATTTTTTTTTAATTCAAATAAGATTTTCTGTACGTTTATTAGGTAATAAATTAGAAATTTATGCAAAAATTTAACTTTCACTCAAATAACAATTGATTCCAATTTCTTTTTACTAGAGAGTTGTGGAGATTGTAACGAGTATATCGTGCGACAACCGTATAAGCAATGCTGTCGTTAAGAAACGAGTAATAGGTAAGGATGGCAGATCAATAGATGAAGTAGTGAAACTTCATCAGTTGAGGTGGTTAGGACATGTGCTGCGTATGGCTAACCACCGACTGCCTCGACGAGCTATGTTTTGTGGTGTAGGAGGAGGTTGGAAGAAAGCTAGGGGCAGCCAAACCAAAACATGGCATAAATCTGTGAAGTCGCTGACAAGTGGGCTGAGTCATCTTGGTAGATGTAGACTACCTGGTTGTGGTCCGCGAGACGAAAGTCATGAATGGTTAGAGACCTTGAACGACGTGGCTGGGAATCGTTTGCAATGGCGCAAGTGCATCCATTCTTTGAACTCTCTCAAATCCTAATTTTCTGGATTCGTCAGCACCTCTACCTTTGTCTTTCTAACCTTATATCACTGAATTATACTTCTTGAATAATATCTTCGAACTCTATTCTTCTTCATTACCATTAATACCTCTACTATCTTTATCACTATGGGATTTGATTTGACATTTGCTTCTCTGTGCTAATGTGGTATGGCAATATGAACTTATGTACATACGTACGAAGTTCTACGTTGCAAATGACTGACTGACTGACCATTAAAAACCTGGAAATACAGGACAGTTGTTTAATCCTAGTATGGAATTCATCATCAGCACAGATCCATAAGCCCTTCTACACGCGGGAATCGAACCCAAGACTTTCGATCTGGCGCGTGAACGCTTAATCTTTAGACACCTGGAGCTAGCATCCATTGCTGATGAGTTCCATACTAGGATGAAATAGCCATTCACTAGTGTTTCCATCTTCCTAAAGCTGATCTAACACATTTCTTTTTTGTTAGAACTATTTTAATAAGAGAGAGAAAGAAAAATCAATTTGAAAAACAAAAGAAGGCAAAAAAACACTAATTTACCAGTCAAGAAAAGAGAAATTTACAGTTGGATGTGTTTCTTCAATAAGTTGTATAGCTTGAGTATAAGATGTCACTTCTACATCATTAATACATTGAATCTTGTCACCAAAACGTACTTTATTCAATTTTGCAGAAGATCGTTCGTCTACATGTGAAACAAATAATCCCTTTCCAGAATGAACAAACAGTTAAGAAAAAAAACAAACAAGAGAATTCAAATTAAACAAGGTGTACAGTTTATTGGAACAGAAGTAAAAAAATAAAGATTAACAGTAACAATTATAACAAGGATGATGATACACACCTGGCGTTTTTGAGAATACATTACTTACACCTGTTATCCCCCAATTGAGTATAGCTCGCCGACCAGCATTCTTCAACCTACTCTAGACTGGGTTGAGAATGATTCATACCTTAAACTATAAAATGTAAATGCAACAAAAGCTTGAAGTCGAATATTTACAGAAGCAGAGATTTAAAAACTAAATCTAATCTTCTTTCGCTCTCTGGTAATTTTTTGAGATTGGAATAATTTGCTCCAATCTATTCATGAAATAAAATCACTCTCATGTTATGTGCGCTACACAGACGAGATTAATTTTCCTCATTAGAAAAGAAAAAACAAACATTGAAGATGCTTAACACCTGTGAATACATGTCATATTGCACCAGGAATATTAAATGTTTAATCCATGTTATTACTGTACGAACTCATTAGAATTCCATTTCTATAGATGTTTGATACAAAATCAAACTTGACAGAGAAGTTCTGAGTAGCATTATTGATAAACAAAGTTGATCTGATGCAGATCTGATAACATGGATTAGCAAAGCATAGGGAGACATTTTTTATAATTGAAGCACATTTAGAACTCAAAACATCTGTCAACCAACACATAATTTTCAGAACAAATGAAGAGAAAAATCGGGAACTTTCAAAGCTATCATCCGAAAGACACCGGTGTTTATTTACATTTGTCTACACAAGATATTCCTTATCCGTTGGCCAAACATCATCAGCAACAGACTAATGTAAGAAAGAATAAACCAGATTCCTCTAGATGAGAAACAAATTAGGAAAAAGCATTGGAGTTGGATAGGGCACACTTTCTGGAAAGCACCCGATTACGTCACACGGCAAGCCATGACTTGAAATCCTTAAGGCCAGAGGAAAAGAGGAAGACTAAAGTACACATTACGTCGAGAGATGGAAATAGACATGAAAAGAATGAACAGCAACTGAATAAAATTGGAAAGGAAAGCCCAGGACAGAGTTGGCTGGAGAATGCTAGTCGACTGCCTTTGGTCCATTAGGGGTAACAGGTGTAAATAACCCTATTCATACATGAACAGGATTTCATCATCTTACTACAAAGAATTAATAATACCCAATTAATTCAACACACTGTTGTAATCCATGTGATAAATGCACTTTTAGAATAATTCATAAACCTGTCTTTAATAGAACCACATCATTTCAAACAATCTAACTTTACTAGTTTTATATTTTATAAATGAGACATTGTTATGTAAATCAATCTATTTACGACTTTGTCAGTCAGTTACAACGTAGAAATTCGTACGTAAGTACAAATGTCCACGTTGCCATACTGCATTAGCGCAGAGAGATTGAATTGTCAGTTCAAATCCCATAGTGGTAGAGAAAGTAGAAGTATTAGCGGTAATGGAAAAGATTGCGGTTCGAAGAAATTATTCAAGAAGCACAATTCAACCAGATAACTTTAGAAAGAAAAAGACAAAGGTGTTGACAAATTCAGAAGGTTAGGATTTGAAAGAACACAAAGATTGGATGCACCTGCGCCACTGTAAACGATTTTAAGCCATGTCATTCAAAGTCTCTAACCATCGGTTACTATCAATACTTCATCTATTGATTTGCCATCCCTACCTAGTACTCGTTTCCTAACAACAACATTGCTTACTCAGCTGTCGCATGATACACGAAAACATCTACGAATATCCTCAACTCTTACCGGCCATGTTTCGCATTCATATAGTAGGACGGAACGAACTGCTGCACAGTACACTCGTCCTATGGTTAGCAAACGAATATCTCGCCTAGGCCATAAGTGACGCAACTTGGCAAAAGCCAATCGAGCTTTCTGTATCCGTGTTGACATTTCCTCGGTCACTAGGTCATCAGCACTGATGAAACTCCCACATGACTGTGTAATTAAATATGCCTATGTATAATTATATTTTTTTAAATATATATATATATATATATATATATATATATATTCATGTTATTTAATACCTGTTTTATTTCTTTAAATGTAAATCCAACATTATTATTTTTAGTCTTGGCAATTGAAATTGTTCGACAATTTGGATCGTTTGATTCTTCAATCAATGAATTTAAACTAGAACTAAGTGGTAATTGTGTACAACTTGATATTTGTAATATAACATCCGTATTATTATTATTATTATTATTGTTATCATTATTATTAGTAGTAGTATAATGATCATTACTATCGGGATCAGAATTCTTCTTTTCTTCATTGATACCTGGTGTGGAATTGCTACGCATTGTTAACAATCCTGTAATTTCTAATATTTCATCATATGATGTGACAATCTCTCTGGAATCTCGATCTTCTTCAGACATTTGGTATTATTGCTCTTTTTATTACTTATTTATTGAATAGTAATATAATTTGTTGAATAGATTGATGAATAATTTATCATCCAAAAGTACTATTATTATTATTATTTTAATGATTATTGATCTATTTGTTAGGGGTTTACAGGAGCACAAACTTCACCAACGATAATAATGCCTATATACATCAAAAAACAAATAAACTGTAAGGAATCTTTGGAATTCTCTATGATGATGTAGAATAGAAGTTTTCAATGTGGAATTTTAAGAAAAAAAACCTACAAAAGAAATATTAATAGAAACAATCATTAAGAAAGATTTTATTACCTTTTTTCAATTGGTAAAAATTAACATATATATATAACAAATAATTGATTTACAAATAAAACTCTAAAGAAAATACTTGATAACTAATTTCCGTGATACAAGTCTTATTGTGAGGAAGTCTATCAACATCAGGATGAATCACCTCATCAGTCAGTCAGTCAGATGCAACGTAGAACTTCGTACGTAGGTACATCAGTTCATGTTGCCATACCACATCAGCACAGAGATATAATTGCCAATTCAAATCCAATAGAAGAAGAGGTAGTAAAGGTATTAGAAGTAATCGGAGAGGTTACGATTAGAAGATATTATTCAAGAAGTGTAATTCAGTGAGAAAAGTTTAGAAGGTCAAAACTAGATGTGTTGAAGAATCAAGAAGATTAGGATTTGAGAGAACACAAAGAATAAAAGCACCGGCGCCATTGCGAACGATTTTGAGCCATGTCATTCAAGGTCTCTAGCCATCGATTATTATCATCTCGCGGACCTCAACCAGGTAGTCGACAACTACCGACATGGCTAAGTTCACTCTTCAATGACTTCATGGATTTATGCCATGTTTTGGTTTGGCCGCCCCTAACTTTCTTCCAACCTATTCCTACACTACAAAACAAAGCTCGACGAGGCAGTCGGTGGTTAGGCATACGCAGCACATGTCCCAACCACCTCAACTGATGAAGTTTCAATACTTCATCTATTGATCTGCCATTCTTACCTAGCACACGTTTCCTAATAACAGCGTTGCTCACTCGGGTGTCCCACGATATACGAGTAATGCTTCGAAAACACCTATGATCGAAAAACCAGTAACCTACGAATATATTCTACTCTCACTGGCCATGTTTCACAGCCATATAGTAGGACGGAGCGAACCACTGCGCGGTACACTCGTCCTTTAGTCAACAAACGGATATCACGCCTTCGCCATAAGTGATGCAGGTTGGTAAAAGCCAATAGAGCCTTCTGTATCCGAGCTGAGATTTCTTCAGTCACCAGGCTATCAGCGCTGATGAGACTCCCAAGATAAGTGAAGCGGTCTACACGCTCGACTGCTTCACTCCCTATCACTAGTTCAGGTGCCGATGAAACCCAATCTTGAAGCAACATTTTGCATTTCGAGGGTGAGAACCGCATCCCGAACATGCTTGCATTGTTGCTTAGGGTGGTCAGAAGACTCTGCATTTTGTCAGCGTCTTCACCAAGTAGGACTATGTCATCGGCATATTCTCAGTCGATAAGCGAGCCAGCCTCCTGGTAATAGGTCTACTCCTGAAAATTCAGACGACGATAGGATTATTTCTAAGAGCATGTCTATGATAAAATTAAACAAGAATGGAGAAAGTGGACATCCCTGACGGACACCACTTGATGTAGAGAATTCCGTTGACAGTTCGCCATAAGCTCTCACTCGACCACTGGTGTTCGAGTAGAAAGCTTGTATAAGGTTAATGTACTTCTCTGGTACACCTTTCAATGACAGACACTGCCACAGAACCTCACGATCCACTGAGTCGAACGCCGCCTTAAGGTCCAGGAAGTCAACTATTCTCGGACGCATAAATGTGTGTCTGTGTTCTAGGACCTGTCGTAGTGTGAAGATGTGGTCTATACAACCACGTCCAGGTCGAAAACCAGCCTGGTTTTCTCGAGTTTGCTTTTCACGAGCTTTCGTTAAGCGCCGAAGTATTATTGAGGCTAATATTTTAGAAACTATATTAGTTGGACTTACCCCCCTGTGATTGTCACAAGAAGAATTTTGTCCTTTTTTATAAATTGGGACAATCAGTGATTGAGACCGGTCGGATGGGATTATGTCCAGTTCCAAGATTCTACCTAAGATCTCAGTCAACCTAGCTGCTAAAACTGGACCACCATCCTTAAATATCTCAGAAGTCAGTCTATCAGGACCTGCAACTCGCCTTCGCTTCAGATTTCTTAACGCTTACTCAACTTCATTAAGACTAAGGGGACCTCATAATGTCTAATAAACACAAAACCCTGTTGGATGATTATCTCTTGTTAGTTATTATAAAACTGTGTTATGAAAGGCGCTTTTAACATTTCGATGAGACAAAGTTTTTGGATTTTCAAAATCAATGAATCGAACGCTAATCGATAAATAAACGCAACTGAATAACAGCACCGTATTCTTAACTTAAGCCCCCGAATTATTGGAAAATCAAAGACGAAACAATTAAACCAAAAAGGTGGGTACTTTTTAGGCATAAAATAGCATACTTTTATACAAAATATGAACACAAAATAAACATGATAAAATATCATGAGATATCCTAGTCTCTGGACCACTAAATTAGCTTTCGGTTTGGTTTGGTTTGCATACTTGAGCAATATAGGCACCTACCTGCCACTATTACTACATGAGAGTGTCGAACTTTTTGAAGCAGATTGGAATGATTCCAAAGTCATCTTTCACTTTATCGGAACTGCGATTTGTAGGCGTGTAGGCAAAGACGACGAAAACGAAACAATTTCTTTCAGTATATTATTGTGCTCTTGCTTTTTGTTTAGTCGAACGTTGCGAAATCGAATATGTGGATCTAGCATAGCAGTCTATTCCGTTTTTAAACTTAGTTTTATGCTTACACAAACGAGGTTACGAATGACCCAACCGTAGCTGCTACCTTGACGTGGTGGTCGGGCTTGCCTATCGTGATGATCCAACCGAGCTATACTGGCTGGAACATATGTTCTTGTAGGTCCTACCATGCCAGGCAGGTCGATTGGAGAACGATCAAACTAAAAGCAGCTACACAAGGTCTGAGGGTGAGGTTGTACTGCTGACTGACTGTATAGGGGTGTGACAGCAGTAATGTGTTTCCCTCGGACAACTAGCATCTGCAGCGATGCCGCCTTCTCACAGGGAAGGAAGGATTAGAAAATTTCGACCCTAAAAATGTCACACCTCACCCTACCTCACAGATTTCCGTCTCCGTCGGAAAGGGTGCCCACTAAGGGCCTTTAAGAGCGGAGCTAATACGCAAAAACTTCTCATAAAAGGGCCGTGCGTGACCGGCCTCAAGCATTTGTCCGTTGAACTCTGCGGTCACGCTGTCAGATCGTTACGGCCAACGCTAATCTATCTTCCTTTTCAGGTCCCTCAAGAAACAAACTTCCACGGTGTGGGAAGCCGGAAAGCGACAACCGCCCTCATACCCGTAACAGCACGCGAGACCGAATTGGTCAAAATCAAATCCTTCCTACACCCCCTAAAACCTCTCTTCTCTCCACAACTACCTCTACTCACATTCCCTTATCTGACTGCACCGCTAATGCAAACGATGCGAGTTCACGAAACGTCATTCCTGGTCTCTTGAAACATCGTTCTAGACTATATGTTGGAGCATTTAATGTACGGACATTGTGTCAAATAGGGCAACAGGCATCATTAGCTAGGACTTTAGAATCTCGCTCAGTCGATGTATGCTGCGTCTCGGAAACGCGCATACAGGATCCTAGTAAAGTCATTAATCTGATTTCACCTTGTCAAAACAAAGAAGCAGCCCGATTTACTCTTCGTGTATCTGGTAGCCCTGATGCTGCTTCCCGGGGTCTCGCTGGTGTAGGTATAGTATTGAGTCGTAGGGCAGAACAATCTCTTCTTGACTGGATCCCAGTAGACAGCCGCTTGTGCGCAGCCTGACTAAACGGGACAGTAAGGACTCGGAACGATAGAAACACCCGTCGTTGCCTCTTCATCATATCTGCCTATGCCCCCACTGACTGCAGTTCAGACGAGGTTAAGATGAGTTTTACAGAAAGCTCTCGAACCTCCTCCAAAAAGCTAGGCGCTCTGATATAGTTATAATGGCTGGTGACTTCAATGCTCAAGTAGGTAGACTCAGTGAAAATGAAAGACACCCAGGTGGATGTTATGGTGTCGCGGCTCATAGAACAGAAAATGGTAACCGTCTGTTGCAAGTATGCTCAGACTATTCCGCCTATTCTGAGCAAACACTAACTTTAGACATAAGGAAAAGCATCTGTTGACCTAGCGACCTCCAAAGTCGTCTCAACGTTGGACTCAACTAGATCACATCGCCATCAGCCACCGATGGAGAGGTTCTGTAGAGAACTGTGGCTCGTTGTGGGGTACATGTTTAGATTCAGATCATGCCCTAGTGCGAGCTCGTATTTGTTTGAGGCTTACTGGGAGTAAGAAAGACACCGTAAGAAAGCCTCTTAGGGTTTTATTTCAGTCAGTCAGTCAGATGCAACGTAGAACTTTGTACATAAGTACATCAGTTCATGTTGCCATACCACATCAGCACAGAGAAGTAATCGTCAATTCAAATCCAATAGTAGAAGAGGTAGTAAGGGAATTAGAAATAATCGGAGAGGTTAGGATTAGAAGATACTATTCAAGAAGTATGATTCAGTGAGATAAGTTTAGAGAGTCGAAACTAGAGGGGTTGATGAGTCCAGAAGATTAGGATTTGGGAGAACACAGAGAATAAATGCACCGGCGCCATTGAGAACGATTTTGAGCCATGTCATTCAAGGTCTCTAACCATCGATTATTATCATCTCGCGGACCCCCACCAGGTAGTCGACAATTACCAACATGGCTCAGTCCACTAGTCAATGACTTCATGGATTTCTGCCATGTTTTCGTTTGGCCGCCCCTAGCTTTCTTCCAACCTATTCCTACACTACAAAAACAAGGCTCGACGAGGCAGCCGGTGGTTGGGCATACGCAACA